TCGCTGAAGGCTCTCCTGACCCTCCCCACTGCAGCCCTGACCCCCTCCCTGGACTGGGAGCTCGGGAGGGGGCAGGCCGGGCTGTCCTTGCTGGGTCCCCAGCACCACCCAGCATGTTGTTGGTTGAACGGGGCCGCCTGAGTGAACGGGCTCAGAACCAGCTGTGTCCTTGCCCAGGAGGAAGAGCTCAACGCCTGTCAGCTCCAGACCTTACTCGGCATCGCCCTGGAGCCTGGTGAGTCTGGGACCAGGGCGTCCTCACGGGGCCCCTTTGTGTGTGGATCCAGGCTGCTGCTGGGGGGCAGGCCACCGGAACCAGGGCTCAGCCCGACGGCGTTTCCTCGCACGCCGGTCCTGTGGAAGGTCCAAGCCCCGGCCACTCGCGAGCCCCTTCCTCCGAGGCAGAGGCGGGGCGCGGCTGCTGCTGGCACTCAGAACCCCTTGCCCGGCTCACATCCCAGCTGCTAGCCACCTGCAGGCCTTGGGCTCTGTGTGCCTCAGTTGCTATAAAATGGGGGATGCAGTGACCCCTAGCAGTCACGACAATGGCAGCCCACAGGAAGTTCAGGTTTTGTTTGTTTCCTGTAGCCAGGCCCCACACCTGGACCCCCGGAGAGATCGGGCTCAGGACCTGTGAGCAGCTGGTGCAATGTTTTGGGGTACATGATGGGCGCCCTGCCTGGGTAGGGAGGAGGGGGATGTTGGGGCCCCTGCTCCCCTTCTGGGGACATTGACTTTAATAGATGTCCCATCTCCAGCATGGGCGAAGCATGGCCCTGCACAGCTTCCAGCAGCTCTGGGGCCACCTCCGGGAGTGGCAGGTAAGGCGGGGTGCAGCCACCTCCTCCTGGCACATAGCCCTCTGTGGGCTACAGGGCCCCGGGGGAGTGGGAGGGATCTGGCTGGGCTGTCCCTGCCCCCCCGCCCTCTGTGGCCCCTCTAGGGGCACTGACCAGCTCTGGCCCTGGGTCCGCATTTCAGCTCCCACCCCGCCCTTCTGGCTGCGATCTGTTTTGCTTGTCCAGCAAGGGGACCCGTGTGAGAAGGACATGGTCTGAGGCCTCTATACTGACCATGGACGAGCCACCCTTGAGGGAGCCTCACTAGCCCCCCTGAGGGTAGTCAGCATGTCCTCAGGACCTTGTTACTGCTCTGATTGATCCCATTTTACAAACTGGGAAACAGGCCCAGAGCGGGGAAGCTGCTTCCCCAGGGCGCAAGGCCAGGAAGAAAAGGAGCTGGGGCGGAGCCGGGGGATCTGGCCTCCGAGACCTCCTTCCAGCCCTCAGGGAGCTCAGGGGGCGGGGGCGTGCGGCCGACCTGTCCCTCCCCACCCAGGCCATATTTGACAAGTTCGACCAGGATGCCTCCGGAACCATGAACTCCTACGAGCTGAGGCTGGCGCTGAACGCTGCAGGTATGGACAGGCGCCCTGGGGCCAGTGGTGGGGACAGGATCGGCTCCCCCTCCTGCCCTCTGTCGAGTCCCAGCAGCCCACTCAGCTGCCCACGTCCACAAAGCTGACATCCTGGCTTGTGGCCAGCTCTCGGCAGGGACTGTGTAACCCTGAGAGGCAGCCAAGGGGGAGACTCCTCTCTGCGTGGGGAAAGTGTGAGGGGCATGGGCCAGGGAGGGCGTGGGGGCTGGTGTCTAAGAGGCGCCAGTCCCCAGGGCGCTGGGGCAGAATGTCCTGTATTCCCTGAGCTTAGCTTGGAATCCTAAGTACTGACTTACAACTTGGGGGCCCTGCCTGGGCATGTGAGTCCACCTCCCTGAGCCCCCACGTCCCCCTGTAAAGTGGCTCGGACACAGGGTGGCTGTGAGTTCGACCTTCCCCTTTGTGTGGAGTGAGCTGGGGAGGGAGACCAGGCAGGAACAACCCGGTCCCCACCTACCCCACAGCCACATGAGGGTGAGACATGGGCAGGTCCCAGATCCAGGGACGTGCCAGGAAAGATAGGCGCCCAAGACAGTGGGGGAGGAACGGAGTCAGAGAGAAGGTGGGGAGGCGAGGGACAGTGAAAAACGGAGCCCCAGGCAGACAGAGCAGAGGCGAAGGTGCAAGTTTGTACTGTTCATTAGTACCCCAGATTGTCTGGAGCGCCTGGTATACGGTGCTCGAGGGGCTCCCATTCTGTGGCACACACAACAGACAGCACTTAAGTCAGAAGCACGAGGACAAAAGCAAGCAAGCGGGGTGCTAGGGCGCACAGGGGGTGGGTGGGGTGAGACGGGGCGGTCGGGCAGGCCTTGCTGAGGTTTGAGCAGAGACCTGAAGGAGTGAGCCTTAAGGACCTGGGGCAAGAGTGTTCCAGACAGGGAACAGCCCGTGCAAAGGCCCTGGGGTGAGAGCCTGTACCCAAGGAAGCTGATGTGAAGGAGGGGTAACAGGTGGCTAGTGTGGCTGAAGCCAAGTGGTGGGGGTGGGAGGTGGTCAGAGGAAAGAGTGGTGATGGTGTGGGGGAGACAGGAGAGCCCCATGAGGCATCGTGAGGATTTTAGCTTTTCAAAACATTTTTTTCTTTATTGATTTTAGACAGAGAGGAAAAGAGAGGGAGAGATAGGAACATCAATGAGAGAGAACATAGATTGACCGCCTCCTGCATGCCCAGCACTGGGGATCGGGCCCACAACCTGGGCATGTGTCCTGACCAGGAATCGAACCAGCGACCTCTTGGTGCATGGGTTGACGCTCAACCACTGAGCCACACCGGCTGGGTGGATTTTAGCTTAAAATTTTTTTTTTAACATATGAGTAAGAGGGAAGCGGGAGAGGCAAGCCCAGGGTCAGGGTGTGCGGGGCTGGACGACAGCAGCGTCTGGAGGAGGGAACGCCAGCAAGGGGACCAGCCGGAAGCGAGCTGGAGACCCAGGAACAGGCGGGCAGTCTGGGGGCAGGGGGAGGGGCAGACTGGCAGGAGAAGCCACCTGCTCCAATCCAGTCACATTCTTTGCTCCACAGTCCCTAACACCTGCTCTGCTTGCGGCCCTGGGCCGGCTGATGTTGGGGCTTTGGTGGTGACCCGAAACCCTTTCCTGACCCCCGCGGCTTCCAGTCCAGGGGCAGCAGCCCCGAGTGGCTGGGGTGGGGGTGGGGAGGTCCAGGGAGCTGTGGGATCTAGGAGGGCTTCCTGAGTGTGAGGAGGAGGAGTGCCCCGGGCCGCGAGGGTAGGGGTGTCTGGGCAGAGGGAACGGCCATGTGGCGCAGGAAGCCCAAGGTCCAAGGGGAGCACGAGGGGGGTGGAGGTGGGGTTTGGTCTGTGAGGGCCACCTTGTGCTTGGGACAATGGGGCCCTGGGGAGGGGCAGCCAGGAGGTCATGGTCACTAAGGAGTGAGGCTGGGTAACCAGGTGGGGGACTCCACACGTACCCGGGGACCCTGGGCAGGAGCCCCCAGGCACCAGAGGACAGACCGTGAAAGTGGCCAGAGAAAGCCAAGTTCCCATGAAAGGGTAACAGGAATCCCAGAGGGGGCCGCTGAGGGCTCCTGGCCCTGTCCACGCCCTCTGCCTGGGGTTCCCCAAGGTCCTGGGCACAGGAGCGCTATGCCACGGGCCCGGGCCCACGACAACCGAAGGCTGAGGTCACCCCACCAGGATGAGGGGCCCCAGCACCAGGCGCAGGATGTGAGGGCAGGACTGTGAGGTGAATGCAGAGCGGGGGACGAGGGGCTTCAGGAAGCAGGCCCGTGACACTGCCCTCGAACTGTTTATCGGGACCGTGGGACACGGAGGAGGGGAAGTCACCCTGCAGCCTCGCGGCCCAGAGCCTTATCTGTGACCTGGGACAACCAGTGCTTGTGGCTTTTAGAAGCCTGTTTGGATTCCCACCAGAGATGTTTTCCAAACTTGAGAAGAAACCGACTCCATATGGAACTGACCATGTTTTGCTACACAGAGCAGTTCCCCAGGGCCCACTGCAGACAGGCTGCAGTCTGCAGGGGTAACACCGACAGTGGGGTGTGCAGACACTGTCCGCAGCTCTGCACGAAACATCCTCCCCCAGCCCCGTGGCCAGGGCTGCCGTACTGCCCATTTGACAGTCGAGGAAACAGGCCCATAGCAACACAGCTGGGACTCGAGAGGCGAGGACAGGTCCCCGTGGTGTCTCGGTGTCTCCCTGGGGAGTCAGGTGGGGTGCCACACGGAGGTGGGGCTCATGGCGGCCAGGCTCAGAGGTGGCCTCCCCTAGGCTTCCACCTCAACAACCAGCTGACCCAGGCCCTTACTTGCCGCTACCGGGACTACCGTCTGCGCGTGGACTTCGAGCACTTTGTGTCCTGTGTGGCCCAGCTAACCTGCATCTTCCGTGAGTGCCACCCCGGTCGGGGGGTGGGGTGGGGGCACAGGGATGTTCCCCAAGGCAGGGGACTGGGTGGTGGGCACTCACCCACCCTCTGCACAGGCCACTGCAGCCAGCATCTGGACGGGGGCGAGGGGGTCATCTGCCTGACCCACAGACAGGTGAGCCGGGGCTGGAGGGAGAGGGTGGCCCAGGGCGGCTGAGGCAGGAGCCCCGCCTCAAACCCACTTCTCTCACTTAGTGGATGGAAGTGGCCACCTTCTCCTAGGACCCGGGCCCTGCCTTTCCTGCAGCCTGGACCAGGGTTTATGCCACAGCCGAGCCAGCCTCCCTGCGACCCCTCCACCCCCCGCCCGGCAGGGGGCGCTGACATTAGGCAGTGGCTCGGCCTCAGGAGCCGGCCTGCCTGGGCTGGATTTCTGGCCCCACCACTCACCCGCGGGTGACACTGGGCCAGTCACTGCCCGCTGTGCTTTGCTGTCTGCGCCCGTCAACAGGAGTGACGCCGCCACCCTTCCCGCTACATGGCTCAGTCGGCAGGGCCCGGCCCTGACAGGGTCCCCAGCGGCATTCTTGACACACACGGGAGGGGCTGTGGCACCCCAGGCCCAGCCCCGCTCGGAGAAGAGGCGCTGTATCACCTCTGCTCCACAGTGGGGAGCGGAAATGGGAGAAAAAGAGAGGATGCAGTACACTCCTTAAAAATATTACATGTTTTATTATCCTGTCCCCAGAAGGGTGGTTTATCCAGAAACCAGAAAAAATAATCAGAATAAAACAAAAGAGAAGGGGAGTGGGGAAATGGAACAGAACCATCAACTAACAGGCAGCCAGGCCAGCAGCCCCCCCTCGGAGGGTCCCGAGACCATGCCCTACAGACAACGGGAAACCAGGAAGGGGCCGGGGAGGGGCAGATCAGCTAGGTCTTCATTCTGAGAGCGAGAGGCGGCAAAGACAGGTTGCTAGGTGAATATATATTTATATAATAAATCCGAAAGTTAATAATAAAGTAAACAGTAATTCTCTGAAAGTTTTAAATTTTTTTATAGCTTTTTTTGTGATTTTTTTTTTTTTTTTTTTTTGGTTTTGGTCCTTAGAAAATCTGAGAGACACAAGTCCAGACAAAGCAAGGTGGGAGCTGGTTGTTGGCAGGGGTACAAGGCCGGGCTGCCCAACCCCACGCTTCTGTTGCAGAAAGGGGGGCACTGAGCTACACCCGGCGTCTCCTGGTAACTGCAGAGGGGAGGGGTGAAGGGAGCAGGGTGGTGCCCTCTGCTGGGCCATCGCAGGTGTGAGCAGTTCCTGGACAAGGCACTGTAGGGCTTTGGCCTGGACACGGAGGCCTGGAAAGGACCTCGGGAGCAGAGGACAGGGCCGGTGGTGGCGGGTATGCCTCGGCGGGGAGGGGGCTGTTTTCTGTGGGGATCTGCCATCCCCTTCACATAGTTAAAAAAAAAATTAATACATCATATATATTTACCAGACCAGAAGAGCTGATCTCAACGTCTCCTGTACCCCTATCCAGGGGGAGGGAGAGAGAACCTTCCGGCCAACTGACAGAGAGAGAGGAGAGAGCCTGCCCCAGCCCCTCCCTGCCCCCACCCCCCAGAAAGGACTGACAGAGTGCTTTGCATAGATAGAGCCAGAGGAACAGGACCAGGGAGGCCCGGCAGCAGGGAGAGGGCTCCCCCAGCCCTCCTGGAGGCCGAGGAGGGGCTCACAGGTCGCTCTCGCCGTACAGGGCCGTAGAGAAGGACTTGTAGTCAAGGGCGCCGGGCACCGCGTCGGAGCCCTGGTAGGGCGCCATGCGAGCAATGCAGTACTCGGCTTGGTCTGGGGGCAGCTCTCTCCGAAGCTCCTCGGCTGTGATGAAGTTCTGGGGACGGCAAGGTGGGACTGTGGGCCACCTGCACCCCACACTGGTCTCCCAGCCCTGGCTGCAAAGGCCCTTCCTGCTGGCCCCGCGTGCTCAAAGGGGTCCTGCTTACCTTGTCCCCAGCCAGGACCTTGAAGGAGGCGATGACCTGGTCGGCTGTGTCTGTGTCGGTGGTTTCCCTGGACATGAAGTCAATGAAGGCTTGGAAGGTCACGAGGCCACTGTGGTTGGGGTCAACCACGCTCATGATGCGGTTGAACTCGGCATCGCCCTGCAGGGTGGGTGGGTGGGGACAGGAGCACGTGAGCTGGCAGGATGGCTGGGCCGGGGCGGCAGAACCCAGTGAGGAGGGCAGGGCCCGACCCCAGCGCACACACCATGTGATCAGTCTGCCTCCGAGGGTCTTGACTCCCCGGGCAACTACCCCACGTGCCCCAGACCCTCTACAGTTTTGGGAAGTGGGGAGTGGGTGTAGATCAGACAGGTCTGCTGCTCCAGCCCTAGGCTCATAAGGTAGCTCTGGAGGTTGGGGAAGAAAGAGAGAAAGGAGAAAGCAAAGGGGGAGAGAGCTGGAGGCCTGACCTCCTCTCTCTGCAGACTTCCAAGAAAGGGGATGGAGGCTCAGGGAGTCATCGGAGGGACCCCAGCCCAGCAGATGCAGCAGGAGCAGGGAGGTGAGGCTGCACTGATCTGGTGGAGGGGTGTCCCCGAGGCCCTGGACACTCTGGATGGGGGGGGCCACAAAAATGAGGAGGAAGGGGGAGGAGGAGCAGGGCAGGGGCAAGAAGAAGGGGAGGCTAAGGAGCAGGGCAGGGGCAGGAGGAGGGGGAGGCTACGGAGGGGGAGGGGAGGAGCAGGAGCAGGAGGAGGTGCAGCAGCAAGGGAGGCAGAGGCCGCATACCAGGCTGTATCCTGTGGAGATAAGCAGAGCCCTGAAGTCATCGGGGTCCATGCTGCCTGTCTGTTTCTGCTCCAGGCCGCAGGGACAGCAGAGGAGGCCAGGCCCACAGTAGGCAAGAGGGGCAGCCCCATGTGCACAGCGGGGAAACAGGACAGTGGCAGGAGCGGGGGAGACAGAGGCGGCCCCGAGAGACCAGGTAAGGGGAGGGGTCCAGAAAGACACGGGAGGAAGGAGGCGGCAAGAGAGCCGGTGAGATGGCACACACACGGAGAGGGCGAGGCGGCGAGGGGGGAGACAGAGGAGGAGAGAAAGAAGAGCAGTTAATGCCATGGTCTGCCGGGGCCCAGGGCGCGTACCTGCCGGTCATTCTCCACGTCGTAGCCCAGGCTGATGAGGCAGGCCTTGAATTCCTCTGGCCCCAGCGCCCCGCCGTGGTCCTGCCGTGTGTCCGCAGGCAGGTGTGCAAGGGGCGGTGTGGAAACCAGGCCGGCACAGAGGTGGGGAGAGGGGCCAGGGTTACATGCAGAGGGCGGGGGGAGGAGAACACATGGAGGGAAACACAGAGTTAGAGGCGATGTGGACAAGGTGATGGCCAGGGACAACGGGGCAGGTGGAGGGGTGCTGGTGGCCTGGAGGGCCGTCAGAGGCCTCCCCCACTTCCTCGGGGGTGCAGATGAAGAACTGAGTCCCAGTTCTGCCTCCAGGGTCTGTCCCCAGCCTGCGGTGCCAGGGCCCGGCCTCACAGCAGGCCCACAGTGGGGGTGGGGACTGGGGCGAACTCTGGCCTCACGCCCTTCCAAAGGCGCTGCCAGACCAAATCTGTGTACGTGTGAGCCAGACTCACAGGCCAGGTCGGTGAGGAAGAGCAGCCTGAAGCAGGGCTCAGGACCCCTCTCCTCCCAAGGGAAACTGCTGAGGACGGGGGTCAAGGTGACACATGTCTGCACCACCTTCCGAGGCGGAGGCCTGAAAGCCGGGAGCAGCGGCTTGTACGGAGTGACGGATGGGAATGAACCGACAGATGCAAAGATAGAGGGGGCAAGACGGGACAGTGACAATGGTGACAGCGGGGAGGGGAGATGCCAGGGCGCAGAGAGCGCTGCCCACCTTGTCGAAGTGGTTGAAGGATGCCCGGAACTCCTGCATCTGCTCCTGGCTGATGCCCTTGGCATCTCGGGTGAGGATCTGGTTCTCCACCTCGTTGATGGTGCGGGCGATGGTGGTGAGCAGCTGCTCCCAGCCCACGCGGATGTGCTGGGGGAGGAGGGCGGGCGTGACTGCAGGCCGGCTGGCGGGGGTGCCAGGACCACCAGAGCCACTGCTGAGGGGTGCTCGGAACCGGGTTCTCCCCACTTGGGGGCAGGGCGGGGAGCATGGAGTGAGGCTCATCCTAACTCTCCCAAACCCCAGTCCAGGCTCACTGCTCCCTTGCGCACCTCATCTGCACACAGGGACAGGCGTGGCACCACCCGCGGCCTCTGCCCACCAGCAGAGTTCATGCCACTCAGCATAATCTGGTAAACAGAGGTGGCAGAGGGCCAGGGCCCAGGACCTGTGCTGGGCCACGTGGAGACTCTGCAGAGCATGCTGGGCAATGCTTAACTGGCTTTCTGGGGAGAACACCCCTCTGTGTCGCATCTCTGGTGTGCACAGTGTAAACACTGTCACTGTGGGTGATTTTAAGCTGCCAATATGATGATGCCCAGCCCTGACTCGTAACGGGCCAGAGCCGGGGGGCATGGGCAGGCATGGCCGGGTCGGTGCCAGCGCCGAGGCCAAGTGGGGCAGGTGCTGCACTCCCAGCTTCTCAAAAGCTTGTCTTGAGATGTGTTGTCATGGTGATGGGAACGGTGTTAAGGAAGCAGTGGCTTTTTAAAGAGTGTAAACATTTTTATCTAATCTTTCCAATCAGAGTAAAAGAGGAGACAGAGGAGGCAGCAGATGCCTTCCGGGCAGGGGCAGCGGTGGCAGGCTGGGCGCCTGGCAGGACGTGGCGCAGCGTACCTCCATGGTGTAGTTGGTGTGCTTGTTGTCGAAGATGAGGGCCTCCTGGATGAGCTGGTGCTGCTGCTCGAGCAGGTCCAGGTTCGGCTTGTAGTCTACAATGCTGCGCTCATACTGCTTCAGGTGGCTCAGCTGGTCCTCCAGGGTCCCGTTCATCTCGATGGAGATGCGTCCGATTTCCTGCACACAACCAGCCACCCAGAGATCTGTTGTTGGTGGCCTCCCTGCCAGGGTCCCTCCTTCTGAAGACCCGTGGCCTGACAATGGTCCCTTCCAGCTCAGCCCAGCCCTCCAGTGTGAAAGCAGCCGCACTTTCAGTGCCAAGTGCCACACACGCCTAACCTCAGCGTCCTCGACTCACTGGGACAGGCGTCTGCAGAGGTGGAAGCTGAGGCCAAAACAGAGCAGCCTCTCACAGTAAGAGACAAAGTCAGGTCCTGGACGGGGCCTGGCTGACTTCAGAGCCTATGGCTCCTGAGCGTGGGCACCCCAATGCCTCGGCTCCCTCGGTGGCCACACTGTGTGGCTGGCACTGAGCCAGGCCGACCAGCCCACATCCCACCCAGGCCACGAGGGTCTGAGCTGGGACCACCCTGACCACAGCTACACCACAGTGCCTGCAGCAGGGCTGGCACCAAGCAGGGCACGGCATTTGCTGAGCAAATGAAGTAACTCTGTTCACCCCATTTTAGAGATGGGAAAACTGAGGAGCAAGGTTAAATTGCACCTGAACTCAGATCGTGAGTCAGGGGCAGTCAAGAGTCGAGCCCACCTACGACTCCTCAGCCAAGCAGCCCTCTGGGTGGCGCTGCCGTTTCCATCCATATCGCTTATCCAGCCTCCAGTCCACCAGGGAGAGCTGGGACCCACGCCCACTGGGCCGCCATGTCCGCTGGCCCTGGAGCACAGATGTCCCACAGGGGCCGGCGGCCTTTCCTGCTCACTGGCCTGCTTACCGGAGGTTCTTCCTCAACTCTGCCCTGGGCTCAGCAGGGCTAGGGCGACAGCCCCTCACCTCCATCTTAGTCTGGATCCAGGGGCCCACGATGTTGGCCTGGCTGGCGAACTGGCGGCGGAGGTGCTCATTGGACTGCTGTTTGCTCTGCTCCTCCAGGAGGGCGTGGTCCCGCTTGGGTACCAGCTGCTGCACCTGGGGAAGGGCATGGAGCAGGAGCGGTCAGGCTGCTGGCCCCTCACCTGGCCAGCCGTGCCCCTGGCCTGGCCCTGCTGATGGGCTCTACCTTCTCCCACTTGGAGTTGATGATCTGGGGGGTGACGGTGGTGTAGGGGTTGCTGCCGGACAGTTTGATGTGGTTGCTCTCAGCAATCCTCTGGGCCTCCTTGTGGATGGCCAGGATGGCCTCCCGTTCCCTGTCGGCATCCGGCAGTGTTGACTTGAACTGGTCATGTGCGGAGATCAGACCCTGGGGGAGAAGAAGGGGTGAGGGGCAGCCTAGCCCGTCCGAGGTCCCGCGAGAAGGGTGGGGAGGGGCGGACCTCAATCTCCTCGATGGTGTGGACGATGAACATGTCCTGCAGGTCCTCCATGGCACTCTCCATCCAGTTGTTGAAGGGGGCCGCCCGCTTGGCGTATTCCAGGTGCAGCTGGTCAATGGTCTCCAGCTGCTTCTCTGTTTTCTGGTGTGTGGGGCGGGGACAGAGGAGGGAGGTCAGTCAGCGAACAGGAGGGGGTGAATGGTAGGAAGGGGTCTGGGAGCCCAAGGGTCAGAGAACATGCCCTCTGGCAGAGTCAGGGGACCCTCGAGGGTCTGGGCACTGACAGCAGTGGAGACACCAGGCTCCAGGGTGACGTCACCCCTCCTCACCTCCAAGGCTTCCCTGCGACTGTGGGTCAGGGAGCCGAGGGCGTCCCACTGGTCGCAAATCTTCTGGCACCGGGTGTTGACGTTGTGGGAGTCGTAGTAATCCAGCTCGCTGCAGGCCGGGCAAAGGGAGGTGAGACCTGGTAGGGGCCCGTAAAGGGTGGGCCCAGACCCGCCAGCCCCCGTGTCCCAGGCCCTGGCACCAGGGGATATCGATGTACAAGGCTGTCTGTGATCCATAATGCTAGCCTATGACCCATGAACCCCAGGGTAGGAGAAATTCAGGGGTGGGATGCGGGGAGGGGGTGAGGAGGGGCTTCCTCTTGTGTGCTCACTGAGTTGCTAAGTTACGGGAAGCTGAGCGGTGGGTGGGTGGGCAGAGGCTGTATGTGGGTTGCTCTCCCAGCCGAGTAGCGCACCCTGGTTCGAGGGCACGGGCTCTGGGGCCCAGGTCCCTAAGTGTGATTGTGGCCCCATGATTTTGTACTTCGTGGCCCTGTGCGAGGGAGCCCCGTTCCCCATTCCCTGCCTGTGAAGCAGGGGTGGGGCCGAGGGGAGAGCGAGCCGCAGTGCGTGTGAAAGGCTGAGAGCAGTCCCTGGCACCCAACAGGAGGAGTAACAACAGCTGTTTCCTAAAGGCTGTGTACTTATTTCAATGGGTATTTAAGAAAAAACATAACTTGCCTGCAATCTCATTCTAAGCAATTGATAATTAAGAAAAAAGTGAGCTGATTAAGGTATAGGTATTATTACTCAAATGACTTGGGTTTGGGGAACCCTGGGCTGATAACTGTTCCTGGTCCCCAGCCCTCTTCATGCTCCCTGCCCCTCCACTTCCCCCATCAGCCCCAGGATTCCCTCTCCTATGGTCCAGATACTTGGATACTCTTAGTAGCGGGGCCCTAGGGAATCGGTGTTCAGGCAAAACCCTGATGGCCTGGTGAGGGGTGGAGGGCAGGGAACAACTCTGGGAAGGAACAGGACACGGGGCCCAGATGGTTGTGTCACCTGCCTGAATACAGGGGCCGGGGGGGGGGGGAGAGCGGAAAAGGCTAGGCGAGGGAGGGGAGCAAGGCTGTGCTCCAGAGGGCCAGGCGGCCTGGGCTCTACTCCTGCCTCGACCACTTCCTAGCTGTGTGACCTTGGGCAAGGCCCTTGGCCTCTCTGTGCCTCAGTTCCCTGCACTGTAACATGGGTGCCAGAAAAAAAAAAATCAACATGTAAGGCTCTCTACCAGTCCCCCATGCTAGGGGATTAGGGAGCTAGCACAGGCAGGGCACCGAGTGCCCTTGGAGTCTCCATTACCGCCCTTACTCAACGCTCAGCCAGGCTGTCCGTCAGGGCTCATTCTGGCTGGCTCCCGGTCCTGACTCACCTCTGGGGAAACCAATAGCACCCTAAACAGCCCTCCCTTTCTCTCCTCCGGGGCTACTGTCCGGAAAGCTGTTTCAGGGACCGACCGCCTCTCCCCTGGCTCAGGGTGATGGGTTTCACATAGCTGTTCCCCAGCACCTTTGGAGTAGGCACCTAGGAGTTATTCCAAGTCTGTTTCTTAGCAGCTTCCGGGAGCTCACCCGTCAACTAAGGAACTTGCTCACGGCTCACCTCCGACAACCCCTGCAGATACCTGCTCTCCTCAGCTTGGGTGTGCCAGGGGCAGGGACTGTATCCTAGAGCCTGCAGGACCCCAAGGGGTGCCCCCAACAGGGACCCTGTGTTCAATACAGGAAAGCCCTATGGTACTTCTGCCTTTGGGTCAGCAAATGGGGAACCCCCAAGCAACTGGGCAATGTGGAGGGAATGGGTCAGAGAGTAGACTGACGCTGCCTGGCATGGGTATCCACGGGGCATCACACTGGGTCCCAGCCACGTAGGAACAAGCAGAACTCCGGGGTTGACTGTGGCAGGGTGGGGGTATCTTTAGAAAGGGAAGTTCTAGCCAAGGATCCTATTTTTGAACAGACAGCTATTTTGGGAGACCTGCCGCCCCTCCAGGGCCTATGGATTTTCCATGAAGCAATGGACTGGGCCTCCCACACGCTGGGTCCTCCTGCTGCACTGGTGGATAAGGCCCCCATTCACTGGCTCTGGAGGTTCAGTGTACTAACTGTGCGCATAAGTTTATCTGACTGGGACAGGGAAGGGAGGGCAAAGGACCCGGCGGCCTGGAAGGCCTTACAATAGTGTGTTCTGAGCAGGAGAGGGACGGGGCCGAGCAGAACAATGAGCTCTCTGTGCACTCGGTGCAGCCGAGTCCCTCGGGGAGGAGCAGAGATGGGGGTGGGGGCTGGGCTGCCCACCCTATCAGAGGCCAGGGATCTCCTCGGTATGGCAGGCAGGGAAGTGGAGCCCAGGGACCCCTAGAGCCTGAAGAATAAGAAGGGGTCAAAGCATTTAGATTCCACTATGTTTCTCATAAAGCAAGAGATGGAAAAGGCATCACCCATAAGGCCCTGGCATCTGAAATGAGGGGTGAGGGTGGAGAGGGCAGAGACCCCGCTCCAGGCGCGGGGCAGCTGACCTCGGCTGCCGCCCGCCACTGCTCTGGGCAGGGGGCCGGAGGGGAAGCCGGCGATGGGCCCAGGAGCCCACTTACTTCAGCTCCTGGGCAATAGCCGCGATCTGCTCCACACGGTCCTGGTGGGCAGCCAGGTCGCTCTCGAAGGCCTCGTGCTTGCGGATGAGAGCTTTGATGTCCGACAGGGTGGCTGTCTCGTAGTCCCGGTGCTTCAGCATGGCTTCCTTCCCTGGGGGCGGGGTGTGAGGCAGGACACTCAGACAAGTGTGTGCCAGGAGTCACCAGAAGCCTATCCAACCAGGAGGAAGGAAATGGGGTAGACCTACATCCTGCCGAGCCGAGAATGGTGCCATGCAGACTAGAAACTTCCAGAACCTTTTCCCTTGACCTTTCCAGGGACCTCTAAGCCCAACTATATCCTAGATGGAGCTGGGAAACACTGTGGTGTTAGTGGGCCTGAGCCAGATATCCCAAGTTAACATGTGTGTCATAGACTTAGTGTCCAGCCCTGGCCGGTTTGGCTCAGCGGTTAGAGCATCTGCCCACGGACCAATGAGTCGTGGGTTTGACTCCAGTCAAGGGCATGTACCTGGGTTGCAATTTGTCCTTGGCCCTGGTCGAGGTCGTGCGGGAGACAACCAGTCAATGTAGCTCTATCACATCGATGTTTCTGTCTCTCTCTCCTTCCCTCCCACTCTATCTGATGATAAATAGGAAAATCTTGAGTGAGGAATTAAAAAAAAAAATTTTTTTTAAACTTAGTGTCCATCAGTGGTTTTGTAAGGTGGAACTGTTTTAGCATCTGTAGAGGGCTGTGTGGAGAAGAGGCTGAGGTGCTGCCCACGCTTCAGCAGGGTGGAGGATGGGACATGTTCCAGTGAGGGTGCCTCCTGGAGCCCACCCCTCTGCCTGCTCCCCGGCACGTGGAAGCCGGCTCCCTTGGGGTGGTGGTCTTATCACACACCTACAGGCTCTGCACGTCCTAAGGACTTTCCATGTGTCATCAGGCCCTTTGAAGGTAGGGAGGAACAGTCATCAGACCTGGAGCCTGGCTAATTATATGCCCCAGGACAGAAGCTCAAGCGAGCCGCGTAAGCACAGTGAGGTGCTGCGGAACTGGTGGGAAATGCCAGCCCGGGAAGGGGCACTGCTTCGGGTAAGCCCCTGCAGGCCCCCAGAGCGGCAGCTGAGATCCCCCAGCTCAGCACCTGACCAGCAGCCGCCCTCCAGGTGCAGCAGCTCCGAGCAGTGGGATGGCAGGCGGGCTCCCGGGCAGTCCCTCATCTGGGAGCCAACACCAGAGCCCCAGTCTTGGTGATGCACAGGGCCAGGGCCACTGCGGTCTCTGCCACCCCAGGACAGGGCCTGGAACTGTCAGGCAGGAGGCACAGCCTGGCAGACTGACTCCACTGGCCCTGCCGCCCCAGCCCTGGGGTAGGACGCCTAACCACAAAGGCAAGCTTGCAATTCCCTTCCCCAAATTGCTTTCTCCCAAGGGTGGGAACCCGAAATAGTAGGTTACCACTTCTCTGCCTCAGCAGTTTCAGCAAGGGCTGCACAGCCACGGCCACCTTGGATGTAGGCAGAGGGGCAGCCACGGAAGGGAATCGAGGCTCATTTTTGTTTCTTTCCCCAGATAACCCAAGACTTTCTGGAAGTATCCACATGGAACTTCACCCCTGTAGGCTGTAAGGGATACTGAGAGGGAAAGGTCAAGGAAAAAGGAACTGGAACACGTCCCCTTCCCCCACCCTGCTGGGCTGTCCTGTTTTGCACATGTGGGTGGTACAGAGGCTTCAGGCCCTAAGTCTTGGGAATGAGTGGGCAGGCCTGCCTGGGGGCTCTGGGCTGACTCACAACACAAGGCCAGATGCCAAAGCACCTGTGCACCTGTCTGTGGGGAGGCAGGGGCGGGGCAGGGGCGTGTGGAAGCCATTGAGTCAGTCTGTCCACCCTGGCACAAGTTTAGGCCAACTTTCCCTAAACACCGTCCCTCGAAGGCCAGCGGCTGCATCCCTCCCAGGGAAGGAATGCTGGTAGGCCATGAAGAGACCATTCTCCCAGGATTTCCTGGAGCCCCAGGTAAGGGACTAACGAGCTGGTAACATGGGCCAAGAAGCCCTAGAAGGGAAATCCAGAAGGATGACGCCCAGAGACTGTGGAATAACATGCAAAACATAGATAATGACAGGCATAAGGCCCTCTGATGCAAGAAATGCCAGAATTTGCTGGCCCATGAATTCCCTGGGCAGGAACCTCACCTACCTGGGAAACTACCGCGCACAGGGAAGAGGCTCCAGAGGTATTTGTGGAATGAAGGAATGAACTAATGAAGTAAATGCCAACATCCCCATCTCCAGATCAGGGACAGAGCCATGGGTGCCATGATTTCAAGGCCTGAGGGAGGTGCCTACACCCCGGGCCCAGGCCTCTTGCCTGCCTCACCTTTCAGCACCACCCCCCGCAGTCTTTCCCGGGCAGAGGAAGGTCAAGGCATTGCTCTGATCTGGCAGCTGCAGCTTCAGAACAGCTGGCCTGAGCTAATGTGAGCAGGGCATTCGCTGGGCTACAGCCAGAGACACTGATGTGGGCCCAGGTTGCAGATCACAGCATTGCGTGCTGGCATGCTGGCGGGGGGGGGGGGGGTAGGTCTTAGCATCTGGCCAGTGCTGCGGCTGCCTGACAAACAGCGGGGAGGGGACGGGAAGAGCTTCCCCAAGGAGTGAGGATCTCATGGCGGACTTTGGAGATGGAAGGGATAAAAAACCAACATGAGCAATGCAAAACTGTGTGAAATCAGCTGGGCCGAGTGGTGGCAGTGGGAAAAGCCCCGAGTCTGGTAGCAGCAGGAGGGCAGACACTTGGGAAGGAGTGGGATGCGGGAGTCCTGTGTATGGCCCTCAGCTTTCCCAGGCACTGGCTGTTTCCTGAGGCTTCTAGGCCCCTGGTCTCTGGAATCCCAACCATGGTGTGGGTCCTGACCAAGGGCCAGAGACGTGATGGAATCCCACATCCCGGGCCAAGGGAACGGGCAGCTGCAGAGCTGCCGAGAAACAGGAGCTGCTGCTGGCTTTGGGAGAAGCCGTCCTGCAGGGGTCCCGGCCCTGGAAGGAGGCCCTGGTGGCTGACAGTCAGCAAGCAATCTCTGTGGGTCAGCAGGTGGCTCTAGGCCTTGCCTTGAGGACCACGCTCGGGAACACAGACTCATCCAGTGTGAGGTCCTGGGCCACAAAGCGTGTGGAGAGGGAAGGCAGACTGCACCCAGGCTGCCAAAGAGAGGCGAGCCCGTCCCCCACCCCTGCCAACCCAAGAGACATGGCAGGTGGACAGGGACAGGGTCACTTCCTTATTGATGGGGCTTGGCTGCATTCCTGGACGACAGGCCTCTGATGACCCAGGAAGGGGCCCTCTTGTAAGTAATCTCTGAGACTGTAACAGATGGGCCACAGGAAGATGAGACTCCAAACTGTTTCTTGCTGCCCAGGGCTGGAGGAACCCAAAGCAGCATTTCTGGCCTGCTTGCCCCCAAGCAGCAGGAAGGGGGTGCGGGGTGGGGGCTGTGTGTATGTGTCTGTCTGAGAGACAGGAATGGTGCCAGGGAGGTGGGACCGTACCATCGGTCCAGGCCTCGTGGATGGAGGCCTTCTGCCGGAACTTCTCTGCGAGGTGGTCGAGCCGCTCCAGCCTGCGGATCTCATTGAGCAGCCACTCCTCGTAGCCCTTCTCGGCCTGCTCCAGGTGCTGCCAGCAGTTGTTGATGTCCTGCAGGGCAGGGGAGGGCAGGGCTATCATCGGGGCTGGGGCACCCGAAGGGCGATGTCTCCCGAGGGGACACTGCAACGGGCTGGGTCACATCTACCTCTTTCTTTGCTGTATCTGTGGACTCGGGCAGGGCCCACCACATAGCAGGTACAGTCAGTTCGTTTGGATTAAACAAATAAATGAGTTCCATGGATGGAGCTATGGAAGCCAGAAGGTGACTGTTCAAGAAATACTGTTCCTCCCTGAGAAGGGGTCTCAAGCACTTGGTGGTGGTCCTGGAGTCATGGCTGAGTGAGGTTCCAAATTTAAACAATTCCACATGAACTGGGGTGTGGTTTGAGGATGGGTGTGAAAGTCTAGGGAGTGATGGGTGGATGGGGGTGGTCGTGGTGATCAAGTGTCAATGAACTCCCACCCCACCTCTGCCCCTGAGGCTGTGCACTCTAGTTAAGACTATACTGGCAAACAATAAGACGGGGGCTTGTCTGGCAAATGTGCACTCCGGGGCCCTGGCTCCCTCTGCCCCCAGAGCCGGGCTCTCACCGAGACCATCCTGCCCTCGGAGGGCATGAAGGCGGGCCGGTTGCTGAGGCGCAGCTTGGTCTGCAGGGTGTTGAAGTTGATCTCCAGCTGGCACTTCTCCTGCACCTTGGGCGGCTTGTGGACGCGCCGGTAATCCCGGAAGTCCTCCAGCTTCTGCTGCATCTCCTGGATGGTCTTTTGGGGCACTCGGTCCTCCAGCCAGGGGATAGTGCGCCGGATCCACTCCAGAAGCTGTGGGCCCACAAGAAGCCATGTGGCCTTTGCAGGCGGCCCTCAGAGCACTGGCAGCGCCACCCCTGGCTCACGAGCCCATGGATCCAGATCTTAAAGGGTCCTGTCTTGAGGATCCTCCCTCAGGTCTCCAGCCTGACTTCTCCATGATACCCACTGGGGATCCCATGGCAGAGAATCCTGGGGATGTGTGCCCCCCTCAGGGCCACTGTGCTGTTCTTGCTGTTTGTGCCCTGGCTCTTGGTTTTCCTGTTCCTCAGATCTAATCAGGGCTTCTCCTTGGTGGTGTCCCCTATCACATCCCACCACGTGGTTCTGCTGCTGCCACCACCACTGAGCTCAGAATTATCTGAAGGTCTCACCGCTGCTCTGTTCACTGTCTGTCAGCACTGCAAGGGCAGGACCCATAGCCTGGCTCCCTCGGGGGCAGCCAGCGCCATGCACAAGGCCTGGGACATAGAATATTAGAATGTAGCCTGGCCAGTGTGGCTCAGTGGTTGAGCATGGACCCAAGGACCAAGAGGTCCCTGGTTTGATTCCCGGTCAGGGCATATGCCCAGGTTGTGGGCCAAATCCCCAGTGAGGGGCATGCAGGAGGCAACCCATCAATGTTCTCTCTCATCGATGTTTCTCTCTCTTCCCCTCTCTCTAAAATCACTAAAGAAAAAAAAAATTAGAATGTAGCCCTGACTGGTCTGGCTCAGCAGTTAGAGCGTCAGTCTGCGGACCAAAGGGTCGTAGGTTCAATTCCTGATCAAGGGCATGCAGGAGGCAACCAATCGGCGTGTCTCTCTTATATCGATGTGTCTCTCTTTCTCTCCCTCCCTCCCTCTCTCCTTATCTAAAATAAAGAAACAATAAAAAAATCAATGAAAAAATATCCTCAGGACAGGATTAACAACACATTAGAATGTAATACTGAAAAGGGTGACATGTATTTTATGAGCCACTCACTCATGTCTTGGATGGAGTAAGGACAGGGCACAAAGAAGCCAACAAACCACACGCTAGCATGATCTCAGGAGAGTAAAGTAGATTATTATGCAGCACAGATATGCTCAGAGATGTGGTTCTCAGTAACAACTAACTTCTGGCAAAATGAGGAAAGCAAGGACAAGAGTGTCCTTTTGTGTTTACGTCCGATGTGTGATGCCCACTGCCTTTTCTTGGGAAGGGCTGGGATTCTACGATACATAACCTTTCATCTTTTCTTGGTGTTAGAAATAATGATGGTAGTGGATGGTAGCCTTTTCTTTAAAAAATATCCCCTTAGCCCTGGACAGTTTAGCTAAGCGGTTAGAACGTCAGCCCGTGGACCGGAGAGTCCCGGGTTCGGTTCCTGCTAAGCCTTAGCAGCTAAGGGCATGAACCTTGGTTGCAGTTTGTCCCCGGCCCTGGTTGGGCTCGTGTGGGTGGCAGCCACTCGATGTGTCCCTCTCACATCTATGTTTCTCTTTCTCTTCCCTCTGTTCTCCCTCCCGCTCTATCTGAAGATAAATGCAAAAATGTCAGGGGAGGATTAAAAATAAATAAAAAAAATAAAATATCCCCTTAACTTGGCAAAATAAAAAGGTGGCCACTATATGTTGGCTGTCAAACACTTTTCCAATTTTCTGGTCCATGAATCTCAGTATCTGGGAACCACTCACTGGTCTAGAAGAGCAGTCCAATTGCCCTTGGGGAGCTTAAATGTTTTAATATTTTTATACGGACATTTTAAAAGTAAAGGGCAGAATCCAGAAGAGATCTGTTGAACACCCCCACTCCCCACTCCCCACTGATGCTCAGGTCAGGCTCCGGAGCAGGGCTGGCTAGTTTGAACCGCAGCTCTCTGCCCTGCCGGCCGTGTGAGAGCAGGTGTGCACCTGGCCCTCAGTCTCCTTCCCTGGGGAGAAGGGGGTGACAGGAGATGGCTTGCCCAGGACCTGCCATGACAGCCGTGGTCCTGGCCAACACTGTGCTCAGCTCTCGGCCTTTCTATCCGACTGAGCTGGTCTCTCCATGGGGAGGGTGTGGGGATGCCAATTCTTAAAAAGCCCCCCAGCCCTGGCCGGTTTGGCTCAGTGGTTGGAGTGTCAGCCCGCGGACCAGAGAGTCCAAGGTTCGGTTCCCGCTAAGGGCACGTGCCTCGGTTGCAGTTTGTCCCTGGCCCCTGGTGGGGTCATGTGGGTGGCTACCAGTCGATGTGTCCCTTTCACGTCGATGTTTCTCTCTCTCTCTCTCTCTCTTCCTTCCCCTCTATCTGAGGATAAATGCAAAGGTGTCCTCTGGTGAGGATAAAAAAAACAAACAAACCCCCAGATGATTCCAAAGCAGTGCAGTGTTCAGAAACTCTGCCCCTGAGCGTCTGTGCTGGCACCCCAAGCTCTAGACCCCAGAGGCCAGCTGGCACGGTGACACACCAGTCTGACGCTCAGCTATGTGAAACCAGCCCAAAAGACCACATCACACACCGGCATGGGCAAACTCCAGTCTGTCACTTTACCACCTTTTCTAGAAAGTCTCACTTCAATACCTGCTGTCCACTCGCAAGTGTCACGTGACTTTTGTCTGAGGATAACAACCGTGACCCAAGCTTTCAGCTCTGGTGGTGTCGCTGGGGGTGGGGTAAGTGGCACTTACGTCGCTGGCCAGCCTCTCGTAATCTTCCATCAGGTGTTCATTCTCCTGATTGACAGCCAGCACCTTGCAGATCCGGTTGGCTGCAGTCTCAGCCTGGGACGGGGGAAGAACATAGTCAGGGCTGCCTGGGGGCTGGTGACCCTCCCTCCTGACAGACATGCCCCTTGAAAGCTGGCTCAATCCATGGTCCACACAGAACTCCCCAGGGAGGGAAGGAGAGGAAATGCAGCTTCAGTTAAGATGGCGCCCTGAGTGCCTGTTTCCTGACAGCCCTCGCTGCTCCCCCCCTCCCCCAAGAGAGCCAGGCCCTGAGGCTTTCTTGGCCTGGATCCTGGGGATGCTGAGAGGGTTTGGGAAGCCCTCCTACAGAGGAGGAAATGGATTAACAGACTCTCTAGAAGCCCACAAAGAGGAGGGCTGGGTGAGGCTGGGGTGGGGTCCTGCCCTAGGCCAAGCCCTGGAGGAAGTCTCCCTCCGGGTAGGAGGGCAGGCTGCAGCACAGCCGAGTGCCAGGGTGTGGGGCGGGCAGAGGGTGGGGATGCTGGTGTCCCCTGGAGAAGTCTGGTGGGCAGTGCACAGGTGGGGCACCCTAGGCCCCTTCCTAATCCTCTCCTTAGAGGCAGGTGTTGATGGCTCATTGGGCCAAAGTCACCATCCACAGGGCAGAGGGAGCCAGGGACTCACAGAGCAGGGAGTGGTAGAGACAGTGACTATTCTCCGCCCAGAACTACCAGACACTGTCCTGCGGAGGGGAGGAGGAGGGTGAGGGGTTCCACACAGAGCGAGGAGAGACCAGGTACCTTTCAGGAAGCACAGAAAGGGTCCAAGAGGAAGAGTTGAAACGGCAACAGAACAGGAACAGAAATAGTGAGGAGGGTCTACAGAGTGGTGGGGAAGGAAAACAGAGGCTTGGGGATGGCTCCAGACCTGGCTAGCCACAGGCACTGCTGCCGGCCTCTCCCATCCACACGCTGCTTCTGGGACAAGCGGGCAGATGAGTGGGGACCAGCCAAGGTTGGTGTGTAAGCACACGCGCGCACACACGCACAGGCGCCCTGCATCATGCTGCAGGACACTTGCCCATGGCTCCAGCGGTACTCCTCAAAGAGGTTCACAAGGGCATGGCCGGGGGCGTGCAAGCAGCACAGCCAAGGCTGCAGTCTTCAGGGCAAGCTATGGGGGTTAGTCCCTGATCCCTCGCTTGGAAGAGACAATGGTTCCCCAAAGTGAAACCCACTCTGCTGTGCAGAGCCAAGAAGGTGGAGCTGCTGGTCCCAGGGTTTTGTTTCACTGCGGAATCCCTGGTCCCCAGCTCAGGGCTCGCTGTGTTTTACGTAGTCAGGTGGACGAGTGAATGAGAGAACAAGGAGCAAATGCTTTAGAGAGGAGAAAGGAACGATCAGGAGAGAATGGGCGTACCTACGCCAGGCCTGAGAGTTGAGCTTGCACTGACAAAACAAGCCCCGGAGAGCGCTCTTTTAGGAGATGGGCTTGGTGAACAGACAATACAAAATATACAGATGATGTAGTATACAATTGTACACCTGAAACCTATGCAATTTTATTAACCAATGTCATCCCAATAAATTAAAAGACAGAGAGAGACAGACAGACAGACACAGAGACGGGCCTGAGTCTGTGGGGCAGCAATACAAAAAGCATTCTATGGCTGGCCTGGAGAGCACACAGGCTGGGGGAAGGGGGACTTGGGCTAGAGAAGCCTGGATTCTACATTGCCCCTGGTGAATGGCAGCTCCCAAGGTCCAGGTCTTTATTTCCTCCTTTACAAGAGGGGCCAGGCTGCCTCAGAAACACCCAAGTGCTCTGACCTGGGCCTTCCTGCCAGTGTCCACTCCCACAAATCCCCCCAGGCCTCCTGTCCGCCACTACACGAAGTTCAGCTCTAAGCACAGGAGGGTAGCTGGGGCAGAAGAGAAAGCACTCTTGCAAGGGCAATGTGGTGGGCAGGGAGGCTGGCATGGGGTCCACTGGGGGCATACGTGCTGTTAGGTGGGGTTTGTGGCAAAAATTCTTCCACTGCTGCCCACCCCCGCCCTCCCTGCCTATACCCTCCAGCAGAACACTCCCAACACAAGCCCCAACCACATGCTGGGTTGGCGGCTATGAACACGGCTCTCTGGCCCAGGGCAGGGAAGACCCACGGAGGGCAGGGCAAGGCTGCTCTGACTGCCCAACCACACACCAGGCACAGTCCTAAGCTCTTCACCTACATGTGCCCATTTCATTCTATGAGACAGGTACTAGTGCAACCCCCATTTCACAGATGGGGGACCTGAGCAAGGTGAGGTGGCCTATCCAAGGTCACACTGCTAAGAGATGGCAGAGCCAGGGCAGGGCAGACGACTACAGGGAGGCACCTGCTGGACCCGGGCTCTGAGAAGGCGGTCCACAGGAGGCAGCAGACAGGCCCTGTCCTATGACTAGGGATGGCTCCCTCCTCCTTAAATTGAGGATAACAGCACCCCTCCCCCCCGACTACATAAGGGGTATGTAAGGGACTGAGAGTCTGTGCATAGCATGTGGCAAGTGCTCGATAAACGAGAGCTAGTTTCTTTTTCTCCTCCAAATGGTGACTTGCCAAATGGTGACTCAAACTCAGGCTGCTGGGAGTACACACTGCTGCCCACGACCAGAGACCAGAAGGCAAGCGAAGGGGACAGAGTGCCCAGGCCTCCATGTGGGACTCTCCTAAGGACAGCTGGGTCCCTCCCATGGAAGCAGAGGCCCCTGAGAGGGGCAGCAGGGCAGCAGGAGGTCAGCTAGGCTCAGGGAGAGCTGCTACTGGGAACCCACGTGTGGCTGCTGGGGCCAGGGGCCAGAGGGCTGGGTCAGCAGGAGCAGGCTCAGAGGACCGTCTGGCCTGCTCGGGCTGAGCCTTTCCTGGGCCATTGGGAGGGGAAAGGGCTGCAGAGGGAGGCTGGTGAAAGGGCACAGCCAGCGCACCGGGCAGGTGGCCCCGTGTGGATCGTGGACAGAGAGGGGCGGGCGGCTGGTCTGGAGCATAGGTCCAAACCGTAGCTCTGCTATGTAATGTGCTACAGGGACTCAGCCGCACTGTCTGAAAAACGGACACCCCTTCCCAGGGACGGGAGGCACTCAGAGCACCTGGTGTACCAGCGCCAGCTCAGGGGTGACACTGAGCCCAAGGTCACAGTACACCTGCCTGACTGGGTCCGTCCTCGTGCCGTGGCGGCCCTCGGCCGGCCAGGACCCCAACCACAGATGGACAGTGAGGACACGAGGACGGCAAGGGCAAGCCTCCAGCCACAGCAGCCAGGTGTGCTCCCATCCCAGCTCACCTTTTGAGCCCCCGAGAAAGCGTGGTAGAAGCAGGACACGTAAGTCATGATGGCTTTCTCATCTGGCCTCAGAGTGCCTACAATATCTGCGCAGAGAGAGAGAGAGGCAGGAGAGAGTGAAAGATGCAGGGAGGGCAGGGCCCAGGCCCTAGGCTCATGCAGGAGGAATAGCGCTTGTCCTGGACTGGAAGCCAAACCCTGGCTCTGGCTGTGCAGCCCGTCTTGCCGAGGTTTTAGTGAGGGGACGAAGGGTCTCCACAAATAGGTGGATTCCTCTCCTAACCAGGCCTGGGTTCGTGACATTAGCCATCGGGGCTGGAGGGACTGAACCCTAACTGATCTTTCTGAAAACCTAAGCTCATTTCGGCCACCTTGGCATAAACCACCTAAGAGTCTCCTGGGGCCCTAGAATAAAACCCAAATTCTTGATCTCAGATTATGCAAGTCCTATATGGCCTGGCTCCGTCACCTTTGACCTCCGTTTCCACTCTCCTCTCCTGGCTTCCTCCTCTCGGCCATTCCTGGAACACGCCGAGCTCGCTTCTGCCCCACAGCCGCTGCACTTGCCCTACCCTCTGCCTGGAGTGCTTCCTTACGATGGATCTTCGCCTGACAGCCCCCCCCCAGCGCTGCAAGGGCCTGTCCGTATCACCCTTCGGCGGCTCCCCAACGGCCTCAGCTGAAGCAGCCCTCGGGCATCTCCACCCACCAGCCTGTCCCATGTTCTCTACCATGCTTGTCATCACAGGAGATGACCTGACCGTGGACCTGCCTGCTGTCTGCCTCACCCACTAGAAAGGAAGCTCCACGGGAGCAGAAACCCTGCCTGACTCAGTCACCCTCTACTCTCAGTGACCAATTCAGAGCCTGGCACAGACTGGGCACTCAGCCGACAGCACGAGCACAGACTAAACGGGCAGTGGCAATGCCAAGGAGCTGGGGTGTGGCTTCCAGTCGGAGAGAGGCCACTGCCGTCTGCAAGAGAAATGAGGTGAGCACGGGAGGCGAGAGGCAGCGGTGGCATTGGGCAGTGGCAGCGAGGTGGGCCTGCCTGGCCCTGCCCGGTACCTTCTGCGCTCCCGAAAAGGCATGGTAGAAGCTGGACACATAGGTCATTATGGCCTTCTCGTCGGGCCGGGCCGTGTTCACGATGTCTGCAAGTGAAGGACAAGGGTTAAACTGCCCAAGTAGGGGCGGGGGAGGGGAGTCACTCACCGGATCCCAAGGCTCCCAAGGCCACAGCCATCCCCAGAGAAGGCCCTTAGCTGATGAAATGACCCCTGATGACTCTGGTAGGCTCAGCCACACCCTCAGCCCCTCCATCCCGCTGTCCCTAGAAAGGCCACGACTGTGGGAACTGGATTAAAATGAGGCTACTTCCTCTCTTTGAGAACAGCCTCAGGGGGCTTCTGGACAGTCAACCCCAAGGCCAGGGATCCTGGCTGGGAGTGGTGCATGGCTGGGAAAAGGCACAAAGCCAGAAATGGAACAAACAAAACACTCCAAACTGGTGGGCTCCGGACTCCGAACCTGCAGCAGGCAGAGTAGGTGTTGGCCTTGCTTTTCCACAGGAGCCAGCCTCCCGGCCACCACGCTCCCTGCCAGCCCCCGGGCGCGACTGGTCAGCAGGGCTCTGGCAGCCCCAAGAGTCGATCCTCCTCAAGCTTCCGGCCCCCACTCCTCACCCTGTTCCACCCCTGAGCGTGTCTGGCCTGCGTAGGCTGCTCCTGCTCTGGGTCCCCTGGTAACATCATCCCAGGTCCACCCAGATTCAGCCAGTCATTCTCAATGGCTCTGCCAATTTTCTACAGTTATAACAACCACAGAACAAGGTGTTGACTGAACAAAAGGATCTACTTACCCTCTGCATCCAACATTTTGGGGATGTCTAGGTATTTCTCTGCCACCTCAAAGGCATTGTTCAGGTTGGTGACCGGGTCGTCCTAGAAGGGGGGACAGGGAGAACTCAGAGAGGGGCGGGATCCAGAAGCAAAAGGGACCCAGGGCTGGCCTGGCAGGAAGGGATCTGGGGAAGGGGTAGGACTGGAAAGGGTCCTTTTAGGTCGTTCTCAGCCACCTGTGCTGCTGCGGGAGAGGAGGACACTTGGGTAAAGTCAATTCTGACCCAAAGGAACCCCTCTGAGAATCTAGGCGGACAAACCAGGGACCCTTTCTCCAGCAATAACATGCTCTTTTTCTTACAATTTTCAACTATCCACAGACCGCAGATTAAGCCCCCTGTCCTGAACCCCTGAAAGTGGGCCAGACCTGAGGCAGCATGGGCTGGGGGACAGGGACACAAACCAAGAGTCTCCGCGTTCCAGCCTCCCTGAACCATCCCTTCACACTGTCTCCCACTGGGTATGGGACAAAAGCCCACCCCACTCGGACGCTCCTTCGCGTGCCTTCACGGCTTCCCAGCTAGAGTCCAACTGCATTACTCATCGTGGCTCGAGTGAGCTCAGTGAGGTCCATGCCTCCTCCACCTGGAATGTCCCCTTTCTGCCTTTAGGCTGCCTCCTCCATAGGCCCTTCCCAATCATGCCAGTCCAGGTGTGCATCCTTCCCCTGCAGTTCTGTCTGTCCCTAGCCTCTCCCCACCCCATTCAACCTGAGCACCTGTGCGTGGCCTCATGTGGCTGACTTGCTCTGGACACACCGTCCTGCCTTCCCCGCGAAGCTGGGAGCTCCTAGGCGGCAGGGCCTGAGGCTTACAGGGTCACAAACTTCGTACAAACAAATTATAACAGTACCCTGCCCGGGCAATGTCTGCCAGCAGCAGTGGTTTGGAATTCCTTACCCCTCTTCCCCACGGACAGAGAGAAAATATTTCCAGAATCCAGGAGTTAAGGAAGGGGAGCTAGAAGGCATGGCTGGTCAGGCCCTAAACCCCTGGCAGTTGCAATGCCCGTGGAAGGAGAAGGGGACAGTCTCTGAGGAAAACAAGGGAGGCGAGAACTGAGCCAGGGGTCTGGTGACAGTTGGCACAAGGCTCTCCCAGCCTGCCCATCTGACCACAGAATCCAGCTCTGGATGGACTTGGGGGACGTGACCCAGAATCGGGGCAGGACTCGGGGTATCTGTAGGCCATTGGGAACACACGATGCATACCTTTCTCAGCTTGTCATATTCGATGAGCTCGGGCCTGTGCCGGTGGATCAGGGCATTGAAGGCAAGACCGTCCTTCCAGCTGGGGGTGGAAAGGCCAAGGTTATGAGGAGGCCCGCACTCTGTAATGGGGATGTGGAATGGCCCTGGGCACCCACAGCAAAGATCAATTCCCACTTATGGAGGCAGTTTAGGGTGTGTGCCAGGCACCGCCGGAAGATGGTATGGCAGGGTGCCTGTGACCTTGACTGCTGGAGCTGAGAGGTCTGGGGTCAAAGCCTGGCTTTTCCACTTACTGTCAGCAAGACCGTGGGCAGGTACTACAACTGCTACCTCAGTTTCCATGTCTGTAACATGGGGATAATAACAATACCTACTTCATGGGGGTTGCCAGGAGGGTTAAATAAGTAAACACGGAAACACTCAGACCACAGCCTGGCACACAAGTGCATGTGCAAGGCTCCAAGGAACTGGACAGGCCCGCCTCAGGGAGACGGCCTACCGCGGGAGGCCGGTGCCTGTGCCGCGTGACCTCTGCACCCTGGCTGGTATGACCCATGGGTTGGCTAAATGCTAGGATGTGGCTGGCATGAGGGTCTCTGTGAGGCAAAATGACAACTGGTCACAAGTTAGACTGGGCCCATTTTTCTCCCTGAGATCCTCTACGGGCTGGTTCTGTCTGGGTTAAGCTCAATGACATCTCCTCAGGAGGGCCACCCTGACCAAGGTATCCTCCTGATCACGTTCTATCGCCTCACTCCAAGCTGTGGTCTTTTTTTTTTAACCTCAACCGAGGACATTTTTTCATTTTTTGTTCAGATAGAGCGGGAGGGAGAGAGAGGAAGAGAGAGAGAGAGAGAAACATCGATGTGAAGGGACACATCGAGTGGCTGCCACCCGCACGACCAACCAGGGCCGGGGACAAACTGCAACCGAGGTACATGCCCTTAGCGGGAACCGAACCCGGGTCTCTCAGGACCGCAGGCCGATGCTCTAACCGCTGAGCCAAACTGGCCAGGGCCAAGCTGTGGTCTTAGTGTAGCACTTCTCACTATCTGAAATTATGCTGTTGGTTTATTTGCACCTTTGTCAACTATTGGTCCCTCTGCTGCAGTGTGACTTTCCAAGGGCAGGGACTCATTCTGGAGCTGTCACACCCCCACTCTTGCCACGTAGTAGGCACTGCATAGACATCACCAACTGAATAAATGAATGAACAAGAAGCAGAGAGGACCAGCCAGTTGGTGGCAGGAAAAGGAAGGAGGCGCACAGAAGAGCTGAAGGGAGGGCCCACGTGCTACTAGTGGCAGAACACAATGGAAAGGCCCCCAACACCCAGCGTGGGAGCCCCAAGAGCCTGGGACACAGAAGAATCTCTGTGGATCCCATGAGGCCCCCTTCTTCCTTCCTATGTGTGTCCCCTCCTTGGTCCATCCACCCTGCGAGGACCCCAGAGGCTCAGAGGGGTGAAGTCACAGGGCCGAGCCAGATCTGACCTCAGGACCACCCCAGGCCACGCCGGCCCTCGAGCAGCACTGACCATGCTCACCGTGTTCTGGCAACGGTGGACATGTCTCCCCTCCCTCTCGTCCAGGGGCTGAGATGTGTTCATCAGAGTGGACAAAGTACATTTTCCCAACACTCAATTCACTAGCCGCTCTAAGGACAGGTCCCTCTTGAGAGTTCAAAACAAAACAAAACAAGAGTCTTGTTGCTTATGAGAAGCGCCATGCTCGGAGAGGAAGAGTCTATCAGGCTGGCCACACACTCGGCCGTTAAAGCCTTCAGCCCAGGCCAGGGAGGCAACTGCCGCCACCGCCGCCACCTCCTCCTCCTCAGAGAGGACAGGGACCTTACAAGGTGCTCACGAGGGGACCAGTGTCAGGGGGAGGGCTGGCAACTCAGAGACCGTGACAAAAGCACAGGAAAAGAAGGCAGGTGGGAGGACAGTGCCTCAGGTGCTGGGAGGAGGTGAGGAAGCGCACTGGGCTCACCTGATGTGGAAGTTCTGCACGTTGACGTTCTTATACGGAGCCGTCTTTCTCTGGCACCAGAGAAGGAGCCCTTCCTTGGCAGAGGTCTCTGCAAAGCACACAAAGACACTGAGCACTGGCTCAGGTGGAACCGTATTTCTGGTTCAAGCAGAACCCGGGGACAGGCCTCCAGACGAACAGCAGTGGTGACAGCGACAACAGCCCCTCCCATTCCAGACATGGGCAGGCCTCTATGGATCCCAGCAGCCGAGCCACACACATGGCCCCAAGAACTAACTCACCCAGGGTCAGCCCAGGAAATGGCAGTAACAATAGAGTAATGTCAAGGTCTGAACCTGTGCCATGTTTCAGACCACAAGGCCTGTGCCTTTTACTGTCAGGACACACCATCAAAGAAGCCTTGATGCTGGCCTCGGCCTCTCCTTGAACAAAGTGACAAGTCAGTGTGCCTGGACTGATCCCAGGTCCATGGGGGCAAAGGTGGGAGGGTGGGGATGTCAAGTGGAAACAGGTAGGCACTGATGCACCTGGGAGCCAGGCCAGGCCTGACTCTCACTGATGTCTCTGGGACTCAGATTCCTCAACTGTAAAATGGGGCTGATCATGCCGTCTTCACCATCGTGATGTGAGGGTCCCCTGAGACAGAGGCTGTGAGAACAAAGCGCTCTGGATGGATAGCAGAGCTGGGTGGCTCCGAGGGGGACCCCGTCACCTGCAACCTGGACCAGAACCTCCACTCACCACTCCTGCACAGGGCCAGGCCCTGTGAGTGACACCGAGAAAGAGGGCGGAGCCTTGAAGCATGAAGACAAAATGCCCCAAACCCTAATCTAACTCTTCCCAACTCAGGTGGAACCAGGGAGGGGAGAGAAAGAGGTTCGTGGGTATCAGCGGGACTCTTGGTTCTTACCTTCCACCGAGATGTCCTGGATGGCGAACCTGAGGATGATGGTCCAGATCATCCCCAGAGTCATCTTTGCGTTGCCATCCACAATCTCTGCATGCAGGGAGGGGCAAGGGTGAGGAGGCTGTTAAACCAGAGGGAGATCCCCCTCCTGTGGGTGGCCTTCCCACCCCGTCTCAAACTGGCTCTGATCCTTCAACAGAGCTGCCCAGGCCTACCTTCCACCACCCTCACTGGGAGATGTCCCCTGAGCATTCTGGGAAGCACTGTCCCAAAAGCCTCTACACATACATGTCCTTGGCCATGCAAGCCTCTTCCCACCCCACCAGCTCCTTCTCTTGACTCAGCTTACAAGACTGCTGCTCATCCCCGAGGCCTGTTCCCAGCCCTGCTGACAGCTCTATCGTGGCTCTGTGGGCACGTCTCCCCACTAGTGGGTGCGTGCTGCATTCCTGTTTGTTCAGAGCCTGTCCTTCCAATCCTGCTGCCACCTTTATCCAAGCCATTATCGAAGCTACTGTTGTGTCCTCCAAAGCTCGACGCACTGCCTCCTACACCAGTCCCTGCAACCCACCTCCACACAGCAGCGAGGGCGGTCCCTTTAGAAGGTGAAGATGTGTCAGATCTGTGTTGCTCACCTTCTTAAAGCCCCACTGTGCCGAAAATGAGCCCCGTGTTCTGGAGTCCAGCTTACAAGGCCTGCCCTGGGTGACCTTGCCCCTTCCTCTCCCCTGCATGCTTTTTTTTTTATCCTCACCCAAGGACATTTTTGCATTTATCTTCAGATAGAGAGAGGGAGAGAGGAGGGAAGAGAGAGAAAGAAACATCGATGTGAGAGACACATCGAGTGGTTGCCACCCACACGGCCCCGGTTGGGGTGGAGGAGAAATAGCAACCGAGGTACGTGCCCTTAGCAGAAACCAAACCTGGGACTCTCTGGTCTGCGGGCTGATGCTCTAACCCTTGAGCCAAACTGGCCAGGACTCCCCAGCGCTCTTTAACTGTGTCATTTTGCAAGCCAGGATCCTTCTTGCTTTAAGGACCCTCACACCTTCTGTCCACCAACTAAATGCACCCTCAAGCCCCCTTCCTTAGATGGCTGGTCCTTCCTATCCTTCAGCCTCAGCTTACACGTCACCTCTCCAAAATGGCTTCCCTGACCACCAGTCTAGAGGTGCTCTGGCACCCACCCCAGGGCCTCTCTCCCCAGCACCCTGCTCTTCCCCTCACACTGACTGCCAACTGGAATCATGTATCTGTTGACTGGCCGGCTGGTTCACTGCCTGCCCTCAAGACCACTGCATCCCCAGTACCTGGACATGCCCTCGAGGAAGATGACGTTGCTGAAGGAAGGGGAGAGTAGGGACACAAGGTCCGAAAACCAACCACTCTCTCAGACTTCTGGGAGTGAGAGGAAGGGTCTGGACCACACCTCCTTTAGCTGCAGCAACTTGGAGAAAAGTCATCTCTGCAGCACTCAGGGCAGGGTGTCTACTGCTGGGGCCAGAAGTACCAGTGGCCTCATCCAGAGGAGTCTGTCAGCCAGACGTGCCTCTGGCAGGCCTCCGTGTCCTTTGCCCCCACACCTCCACACACGACACCAGGAGAAAGGGTGGGGAAAATGGAAGGACCCTTCAAGAGACCTTGCTCACAGACCCTAAGAACAGCAAATTCTAAGGTGGGCTTGATTTGAAAAGGAGGTGTAGTTGTCATCTAGAGGGTGGGAGCCAAACCTCCCCCAAGGACACACTCAAGAGAAAAGTTGGGGGACTCTTAGCAACTGTGGAGGTGCCCCTGAAATGAAGCCATGGGCTAATGGCTGAGGCAGCCTTGGGCTGTAGTCTCAGGATGAGAAAATATGCACAGCTGCTGTCTGACGACCGAGGAAGACGAACAGTGTCTGCGGCCCCTCCCCTGGGCCACGGACCCCAGACTTGGAAACCAGGCGGAGACTTCCAGTGCAGGGCAAAGGCAGCGATTCATCCAGGAAACCTATGCTGGTTCCTCCCAAGTGCCAGGCACCCAGAGGCGGGGGATGGGCAATCTGGAGAGGAGGTCACAGCTCCCACCCAGCTGGTTACACAGGGAAGCCGGTCACAGAGGGCTTAGAGAGTCCCCGTGAGGGAAAGAAGACGCTCCTCTCATCACACATCCACTAGCTGCTTCTCGGACCTGCAGCTGGGCCTCCAATGTGTCCCCTCTCATCACCCCCACAAGGAAGCAATGTTCCTACAACTGCCTCGATTCGGTAGAGGAACAGGGAGACAAGGGCTGGGTGGGGGCTGGGGTGCTCAGGTTCCAAGGCCCTTGGAATGTCTCTAGTAGGCTGCCCTCTAGCTTTGTCCTCAGGCCCGATGGTCACAGGATTGGGAGTGAACCAATCTGGGCATGAACAGAGAACATTTTTAGCCTGAGTTTTTCTCCAAATGAAAACCGATGACTGCCATGGGTCTCTCCTCTAACCCCTTCTGTATTTACAGACTAGCATTTGAGCAAAATAAATGCAGCTGTGAGAAGCAGAAGGCTGGCGTGCAGCCAAGAGGAAAGATCCATGCGAGGACAGAAAATCTCAGGGCCTGATTAAATTTTGGGGCTTTGATTTTTTTTTTTTAAAACAAACACCAACTACCTCAACTGTGGCATTTGAGGCTTGGCACCCCTCTCTGGAGAGGTCCCGGGGCAACAGGGCCGGGGGAGGCTGGAACACTGAACAGGCATTCTGGCCTAGAGTCTTGGCCACTCGCAGAGCACTGTCATTAATGGCAATTAGTTTTCTTTGTTTTTCTAAAAGCTGGGACAACATGGACTTCGGTGTAGGAAAAAGTCCTCTGACTAATGAGCAGAACTGTGAGCCCAGGCTGAAGGAGCGGCTGAACTCCATCAGGCCTCACCTAGTCTCCAAAAGTGCCTGTGACTGCAAGACAAGAACCCAGTGCCGAAGGGACAGCATGTTATTGCTCTGGTGGGAGGGCCTGGGGCAGAGGGTTACAGTCCTGAGTATCCCTACGGGCCACAGAAGGATCCTGGGTATGCAGTCCGAGGCCAAACTCTCCCAGACTGTGCAGCCAGCAAAATCTGGTCACTGACCTTTGGACTTGCACTCCCTGCCCAACAGCCCTGACACGGGGCCTCTAGTGCCCTTCTCCCCTCCTGCCCACAGATACCAGGCAGGGCCTAAGGGCAAATGTGCTCCTGGCACAGAGAGATGCCATGTCACAGGTCTGTTGGTGTCTCTCAGGCCCAGCAGGAGGAGGGCAAACACAGGTGTCCAGGGTCCATGCCATTCCTCCCCCTGCCCTGTGTGATCAGGGTGCTGGATTCCCCAGTCTCGGACTATATTATTCTGTGGGTGAAGGGGAGGGGACACTTGTGGGACCAATATCACATTGAGGCAATCATTATGGTCACTGCTGAGGCTATATCAGGGCTTTAGGCACCCCAATTGCTCTATCACTGATACAACTTCTGCTCAGAAGGCAGAGCGTGGCCTCAGAGCCTGCAGGTCAGAAACGGAGCTGCCCCGTCCAAGCTCACCTTCAGCCCCGATGGAGACCAGCTTGACTCCTTTGCTGGCGATGAAGTCCAGTGCTTTGTTTACGTTGTTGATTTTGTGCACTCTCATCTTGCCCCGTTCTGGCTTAGGTAACCGCTCCCCTGAGAAAGAGAAGAAAGAAAAGCTGAAAGGTCCCCACTGCTCCCCAGAACAGGCCACTATAGCACTCTGAGCCCACCCCAACAGGCCCATGCTCAGCCTACTACTGCAGCCGTATAGGCCTCATTCTCCCAGGCAGCGATGGGACAGATGGGGAGACCTTTGTGGGAGAGGGGCCTCACCTGAGATGACCTCTAGGAGGAGCATGAGCTTGAGCCCATCTCGGAAGTCCTCGTCAATGTTCTCGATCTGTGTGCCGGCCTTCCGCAGGTGGGAGTTGCACCAGGCTGTGAAGGTCTAGGGAAGCAGAGCAGAGAGTGGCCAGGAGGGTTAGCGTGGCTGCTGGGGCTTCTGGTCAAAGGGCTGGGCCAGAGCTCCGACCCCAGAACAACATGGCCACCATGGGGCCAAGCACTGGGCTCCACCACCCCCCTTTTAACTTTTTTAATCCTCACCTGAGGATATTTTTCTATTTATCTTCAGATAGAGTGGGGGGAAGAGAAACATTGACGCGAGAGGGACACATCGACTGGCTGCTTCCCACACAACCCTGACCAGGGCCAGGGATGAACCACAACTGAGGTACGTGCCCCTGACCAGAATCAAACCCGAGACTCATTGGTCTGAGGGCCGATGCTCGAACTGCCTAGCCAAACAGGCCAGGGCTGGGCTCCACCCTTTATATACACTGTTTCTAATCTTTACCACAACCCAGGCAGATCAAGCTAAGGAAACTGAGGCTCAGGGTAGTTAACAGACTCGCTGCACAATCACCTAGGTGAAAAGTGACAGAGCACAGATTGGAATCCAAGTCTGCCCCCCTAGAACAAGTGCCCTCTCCACGGTGCCCTGAGTCCGGCACACGTAGCAGACAGAGGTGACGCAGCATGTGGTCTGCTCATTCAGCCACACACACAGCTGACTGAGCGCCAGGCCTGCAAGAGGAGGGACCCTGCTCCTGTAGAGCTTGTGTTCTCCTGCACGGACACAGCAGCTCTCACTCATGGGCGGACTGACCGGACCACGAGCCCCAGCGCCACTGCTTCCGCCCGCCCACCCCTCAGGCAGAAGCTTGGGTAGCCGCTTCCCTGTCTCTGGCACACAGATGACCTGGGACAGGAAAGCAGCTGGAAAGTAAAGCCTCCTGTAAATCCAAGGTTTCCTCAAATCAAGGTTTTCCTCAGTCTCCCCTGGGGCTTTGGGTGGCACCACAGCAAGCACCTGCCCACACCCTCTGCCCTGCACACATTCCCAGTCTGCTGCCCTGCAGGCCACACAGCCTCCGCTCCCTGCGAGCATTCCACATCCCGCCCTGTCACATCTTAAGATGGATGTGTCTTAGAGAGAGCTGCATGGCAACTGTGAGGCAGCCCCCCTCCCCACTGCCCCAAGTCAGGCTGCCATTTCTGAGGACTCCTGGGCCTGAGGACGCTGGAAGATAAAAGGGAGTTTTCAAGTAGAGAGGGCCATAGACAAGCAGCCCCAATCCCAAACCTGAACACAGAACACCCAAGTACAGGGCACTTGGCACCCAGATGGTGACCGGCCACTCAGCGCCTGCTGTCTGGGGCATGTTATCAGACGTTAGTGCCAGGGAAGGACGTCACATCAGTTAAGGTGGACATGCCCAGACTCCTTCTGGGAAACCGGCCCACTCAGCCTTGCTCAGCAGGGTCTGGGAAAAGCCCCACGCCTGTTTCTCATAGGAGCCCCCACCCCCTCATTCTGCAGGGGTCAGTGTGCACGTGGGCAGACAGCCAGGAACGTGCAAGAGCACACTCCATGCCCAGACACAGAGACCACGTGGGGGTGAGGGGCTTCCAAGGAGCCTCTGGCCAAACACCATGTGTTTTGCTGAGTGTCACCAGTCCTGCTCACTCAGAGACTCAACACAGGGTCTTTCCCACATAAAGAAGCTGCCTAATTAACACACTGTGCCACAGTGGGGACCAAAAGAGGTTTCCTTACAAACCCAAGAGGGACGGGGGGCTGGGCATGGGACAGGATGGAATGGCCTGTCAGTGGCCCAGGGCTCCCCTACCTGCCTAGACAATACGACGAGTCCCTCGGCCGAGGAGACAGAGAGCCCCTTCCCGTGTGAGGCTGTTCCCACTGCCTTGCTCCTGACTCGCCTTAGCCAGCAGGTACCCTTTCCTGAAATCAGCCCAAAAGGCAGTTCCTCTGGGATGCCTGACCTGCTTGCCCTGACCTGCTTCTGACCCGGATGTCCCCTCCTCTGTACAGATCTCATCACAGCACCATCCTTTCTGGTCTCTCAATTATGCATTGTCTCCTGCCTCCCACAACTGTGAGTTCCTTTGAGGTCAAGCCACCAAGCAGGTTCTCAGTCAAGAATGTATACATTTGCCTTCCCTACTTCATTTCCCACGCTCCCCCTTTACAACTCTGAATTCAAACCAGAGCTAGAATGCTGGTTACACTGCTCATGTGGGCAGGTTACCCCATCCTAACACCCGCTTCCTCATCTGTTAATGTGGTGATGGGGATGGCACTGGGGCCTCGGCCAGAATGAGGAGTCAAGGTGACAATGCCGTATGGGCACATGGCACGTGCTCAATAAACAGCGGTTCTCGAGATGTCCCTGTGCCCCCCAGAATCTCCCCCTCTCCTGAAATCCTGCCCACCTCCTCCAGAGTGCCGTGTCCTGCCAGCCCTCGGCATCTCTGACAACCTCTTCCAGTCTTCTGTTTCCAATCAAGTGACTTGACCTGTTACACTTGAGTGTCTTTCTCTATAGGATAAATGTATCAGAATCAGCCTCTTGAAGTTGCCATAAGAATTAAATGGGAGGCTGGGCAGGGGGCCTTAACGCCTCTGACAGTGTCGCATGAAGTGCCACATGAGCTGTGTGCATGTACATGTGCACACACACCCACACTGCTGCCTCCCTCTGGCAGAGGCCCTTACCCGACCCCACAGTTTGGAGTGGAAATGAGACTGCAGAGGTCCTCTCAAGACGGTCCTCTCCAACCTGTGGAGGCTCTGAACAAACCTCGCCTTACTGGGTTCACACCATCCTTCCTCACAAGGTTGCTGTACCACCCACCCTCCAAACACATCCCATCTCTGCCCTTTGCTCATCTTCTCTGGGCAGTAAATAAGAGCTCTGGTTTGGGGCTCACACAGACCTGAGTTCAAGTGTTGCCTTTGCCATGATGGCAACCTGCCAATGGGGTAACTTCGGGCAAGCAATGAGCCTTGGCTTCCTTGTTGATGAAATAAAGACAAAAATCTCTTCACTTAAATGAAAATTAGACAAAGTAATGCAAGTAAACCACTTAGGACTGTACCTGACACAAATTAAGCAAACATATCAGGAAAGATCTACTCTTACTTAAATAAGTGGCAACTCTGCCATGTACTTCTGTCTCCTGAGCTGGAAGCAGGTGGAGTCCCAAGCAGAATACCCAGTGTCCACTCACCTGGCCTAGGAGGTGAGGAGGAAGAACTCCCTCCTGAACCTGACGGACACAGAACGGGAACCCCACCAGCAGGCCTCCCACCTCAATCCCCGCCCTGATGGGCCCTATCTCTCCTGAAGGGGAGGCCAGGTCTGCTCTAGGCAAGGAGAGCGTGACCTCATGAGGCCATCCTCAGGGAACTACAGATGGCCTCTTCTCTGTGCAGTGTGACTGGTGATCAGGAGCTGGAATTCAAATAGGACATTAAAAATTCATAGCTTTTTCTAGTTAGTTACAAAAATAACACTCTGCTTATACACTCCCCTCCCTATCCGGATTAGACTAAGATGTGTGGGGTGGTTAGTGCCGAGGGGTGGTTTCTATAAATGGAGGCCTCATGCGCCCACCGCACCCCCCTCAGCTATGCAAAATTCTCAGTATGACGACAGGTCCCACCTACTCCCAATGTCCCAGGCCACCGTGGGGTTGGTGCACATCCATTCCCTACACAAGCCTTTGCTGAGTGCTATCCCAGGGCCAGGCTCTGGACCGAGTACACCGTGAGCCAAAGCGGACAGAGACCACTCTATGGAGCTCCGTCTGATGAGGGATGGGACCTCATTAATCAAGCAAATACTCAGCCACAGAAGGAATGGCAATAAAAGTAACAATCGTAACAGACACTTCTGTAGAGCTAACTATGTGCTGGGCACTGTTCTGGCACCTTGTCATGTATTCACTTCTCTCATCCTCAGAACTATCTCCTGAGGTCAGGGTTATTATTGGCCCATTTTACAAATGAAGAAACCAAGGGTCCGAGGGGTGATGTGACTTGCCCTCTGGAAAGTCCCAGAGCTGGATTTAAGGCCAGGTACTGAGCTCCAGAGGCCATGCTCTGAGGTATGCTGCGCCTCTCCTCCTCCCTCCCACCCCCGGAAAGGGAGCTGAAGAGAGGGTTCCGTGCACTGGGGTACAACTCCTCACCTAGTGGAAGGGGTAGACACAGGGAAGTCTCCCTAAGGAGGCAACTCTCCAACTCTGCTCTGAGAACATTAATAACATAAAAATAAGGGAGACTTTTCCAGATAATGGAAAAAACGTGTACAAACAGCAGGTTGGAGAGAAGAAAGGAGTGAGGGGAGTAAGATGTGCCAGGAGGTGGGCAGGCCAACCTCCAGGGGCCTTCAAAGGGTCATGGTGGCTGCTGCTGCATGGGGATGGAGCTGAAGGGGGCAAGGGTCAGTGTGAGATAGCCAGGAAAGGGTAGAGAGCTCCGAGGGAAACTTGGCGGGAGGGGGAAGGCAGAGGAGTCATGCTGGAAATGCCAGCTCAAGGCGTCAACTTCATTTGGGAGGACCCACAGGTACTGGCCTCTGTCGGGAGGAAGGAAGGGCAAACGCATTGAGCTCATCTGGGTTTTACTGTCAAGGGTCATCTTCCAGGGGAGCACTGACTGGGCAGTGGCCGTGTCCCCACTGCCTTGCCTAAGAGGCACTCAATGCATTCACCTGGCTGACAAATCCTGACTTGGAACACCTATTTGGTACTTGCCATGGGATGAAGCCAAACAGACACAGAACTGACATGCTCACGGGGGAGAAGGCATTCTAAAGGTAACTATGTAGTAACTGCCAATTGCTAGCTCTTCCTATTTACAAACAGTAACTCTTTTTATTTATTTATTTATCCTCACCCGAGGACATTTTTGCATTCATCTTCAAACAGGGCGGGAGGGAAAGAGAGAGAGAGAAACATCGAGTGGCTGCCACCCACATGACCCAACCAGGGCCAGGGACAAACTGCAACCAAGGTACGTGCCCTTAGCGGGAACTGAACCCAGGACTCTCTGGTCCATGGGCTGATGCTCTAACCACT